AGGATAAGAAAGAGGGTTTTTTTCTGCCTTGCAGCCAGACCCAACCAGTGTGGGATTTGTTCCAGCTACTGAAGCACCTTCGCGGGCTGCCTGCTGCGGTGGGGGCGGGACTCAAGCCTCCAAAGCGCCGCATCGGGCCCTCGCAGGCCCCAGGCTGCTGACCCTGCTCTAAGCAGGGGGGAATGTGAGTAGTTTTTAAAAGCAGACATATAAATGCCTCTGTGGGTGCTGTGGCGCCCACAGGCACCGTGTTGGGGCCAACAGAATTACACCAAAAACTATTCATGAGACACAAAATAGCGAAGAGTAAAGGAAAGAATACTCAACATACAGATTCTCTGAATACATCATTTTGCAAAGTCTTACACATCAGTGGTTCTCATCTTCGAGGTAATCAGAGGTCCTTCAAGAAATACACCAACTCATCTGGATCAGGGGTGGGAGAACCTATGGTCCATAAGATAGCCACCAGGCAGAGCCCACGGGCCAGATCTGTGGGGTAGCGGGGAGGGGAGGGGAGGGAGAGGGAGGAAGCAGCTCTGCATGCTGCAGGGGACAACTCTGCAGGAACCCCCTCCATTGCTCACAGTGGCCAGGAGTCATGGCCAGTGATGCTGTGGGGGGAAGGACAGGCAGAGAGCATTTCCCCATAATGTGCAAAGGTGCATATTTTACATTTACAAACTTCTGGGACCTACAATTACCATCAAGTAATATCTAGTCTCTTCTCAACATCAGGTGTTCTAGACCTTCGCTGCACCACAACCCACTTCTGCCAACAAAAACTATTACACGCCCCGGGGGCGGAGGGGGGCACCAAAACCTATGCCCACCAACACCCCAATAGGAGACCAAATTGACCTATAATGTGAGCCCTGCTGTCCAGGACTGAATCACTTAGGCTTTGGCCCTTGGGGAAGGGAGGTTTCATCTTCAGCCCCGAGTGATGGGGCTCAGGCTTCAGCTTTAGCCTCTAGACCCAGGCCCCAGCAAGTTCCCAGCCCTGGAAACCACATTAAAACAGCAGCGTGGGTCACAATGAGGTCCTGACAGAGTTTGAGAACCACTACTCTACATTTATAACAGAAAAATTATTTCCTTTTTCTTCGACGTCTAACTCAGAAGACACTTCAGGTCAGTTATACAATCTGGACACCCTTCATTAAAAAAGTCTCGTCTGTTTCTTATATACAGGCATGGAAAAGGCTAGCTTACTAAAAGTTTGTTGTTTTTAAAATCATAGTTGGATACTTTACCTCAATATCTGGCCTGTCTTCAGGATTCTCTTCTTGCATTTGTTCCAGAAGAGTCTGTAGATCCTGCTCAAACTCTGACTCTGTTTCAGGCTCGGTCACATACTCAATTGCTGCTTTCAGGGTCGCACCCAAAGAATAGATATGTGCCTGCATGAAGTATAAATAGGTTATTAAATAACTTATCAATTCACCATTAAGACAACAAGCCATATCCCTATTCATTTTATATAGATAACTTCTATTCTAGCAGCATCTGAAAGCAAAAGACATACTTCAGCGTTATTTTTAGTGTCCAAAAGCTGAACTATTATTTTTAGCAGTATTATGGAAAAGCATGTTGATAAAAAGAATTATCAGGTTGCATGCTTATAACCCTTCTTCTTATGATGTCTGAGAATTAATATTCAAATTTATATCAGATACATTTTGCATACAAAAGCTTTTGACCCTCGTATAACCCTTCTTCTTCTGATGTCTGAGAATTAAGATTCAAATTTATATCAGATAATTTTGCATACAAAAGCTTTTGACCCTCCTAACGTGTGTGAATAGCAAGACAGAAGAATATGGGAAGATTTTATGGTCCTCACATTAGATTCCTGACAGGCCTGGGAGAAACTGCAGCTGAACATCAAGGACAGGCTCTATTCAATCTCATGGCACTTAGCTAAAGTTGGCACAGACTAAAGTTAGTGCTACATAACCAAGAAAAAGCACAATGTGTACTAAGGATCATTGATGGCCTGGTAGAATCCCTGTGATAAGATGAGAAACACTGACATCGTTGGTGAAAAGGTACACAGAACAAGAAGCATGGACATCGAAAACATGTATTACACGATAAGGAGAACAATCATTTCTGTACTCCTGCTAGTCTCCCAGCACTACTCTACTGCATTTCAAAACACAGGGATGAATCCCACTCTGACAGTAATAACTGCAAAATAAACAAGGAACAACAATCTTCTGAACCAGAGAGTCTAGGTCACTAACTTTGCTTGAATTTGTAGCCATGTGCTTGCTGCTGGTATACTAGAACTTTCAGCTGTAAAGCACATTTTTTTCCCATTGAATAATTTTTTTCTATTAGCCTAGAAGTTGGTTTTATAGCAAGTTGTATAGACTGGATTATAAACCAGTAAACAGCATAAGATATCAAGCTGCAAAACTTCTTTATTTTGATGTTGGATACTTCATTTCTGAAAGTAGAAATGATTTTATGCTGAAATGGAATAAAAATAAAAAAAGGAACAAGGCAAATCCTTTGCCTTTTTATATCATCATGTTTGGAACACAGCAATAGATTGGGGGAGGGAGAAGGGGAGAGAGGAGGAGTGGCCTTTTTTGGACATGCTGAATATTCAACATTTAATGACAGATTAATACCTATTAAAGAATCACAGATATAAAAAGTTATTCTATGCATTTCTGTAGGCATGAAAAAATACCAAATAACCTGCAACACACTGTACCATTGTGTTCCATAAAACATGTCTCAGACAAGACTTCCTCAAAATTAGCAGATTTACAACAGCTTAGCTATGCTACTAAATTCAGGAAGACAGTAATGTAAGCATATTTACACAATAGATTTTGACAATACATTTAATTGAATAATTACTGAATCAAAAAACCCAAGAATATTACAAAATATTTTTTAAAAGTCAGAATATTAAATAAACTGATTATGTGTGGAGCAGAAGGCCCTAGGGAAACATTAGCAACTGGGACAACCAATGAAGAAATTCTAGGAAGTTTTAAAAAAACAAATAAGACAAACTTCACACAGCCAAATGGCATCTTTGGTTCCTCTCCTTGGAGTAAGCCACTTTTATCAAGACAAGGGAGCTTTATTTAGCTCAACACATTTCAAGAGATCCAGAATGGAATGGAATGGGATGAACTTAATATGCTTCTAACAATTTATATAAATTCTAAAGCTTCATAATGCAGCAGTGATTAGGACAAAAACAACATGGAGAGCACTTGTGGGAATAACTTGGGTACCTACTTGCCCTTCTTGTAAATAATGAATAACCATTTTCTGAAAATAATCCGAATCTGTAGCACTCAGTATATTTTTTTAAAGCATTTTATTTTAGAGCTACAATTATGAAAGGACAAATTATTTATAACAAGTCCTCAACACACACCGTCTGAAAGGTGTGCTTATTTAGATTAGCTGTTCAACCCTGTAAACACATAGCAAAACCCTCTTGGAAAGCTCCAAGAACCTTCTCCTTCCACATTTAAACTATAGGATTTCTACCACAGAAACGAATTGTCCATGGAAAGAAGCCTAGATTATCCCCTATTAATGAAATTTAAATACATAATGCATTAGATTGTGTCTAATTTAGATTATGAAGTCCTTGGGGAGTAATCATACATGGTTTTTGTAGTGTATTGGTTACATTCAAGTAAAAAAAAAAAAATCATCAAGTGTTATACCATAACAATGTCCATAGGAGTAGCAGGACATAATCCTCAGGTGGAATCTTGTGGGTAAGCATGACAAAGAGGTCAACTATGCAAAATATGTGCCTTTAAAAAAAAAAAAAAAAAAAAAAAGCAAATATTTTCCATGCTAAACTGATCACTGAAAAAGAACTGGCCAAGGACACCACTTCTCAGTCATATCATTTCCTTTCAAGTTTGCTGTAGTTGGTACAAAGTGAAGATATTCTTGTGGCCTCTGCCCCCTCTTCCCCCTGACCTGAAACCTCTCTCTGAATCTGGTGGGAATGTGATGGGAATGGGAAACAAGGGGAAGCACAACCTGAGTGGAGGGATAGGCCCTCAGCCTCACCCTCACCAATTCGTCATTGCCAGGTTCACAGAGGAGAACAATTGGCTTCCCCTGCCCTCTTTCAAAAATGAGGTGTACAGGATCTTTCGAAAAAAGGCTTTTCTTTTCAAAAGAATGATGTCTAGATGGCGGCTTAACTTTCAAAATAGTGTTTTTTTAAAAAAAAATGCTGTGACATGATTATGCAAATGAAGTGTGGGAAATTCAAATCTCGGCTTCATTTGCAACTTCGATATGTCTAATTTACATCCTTCTTTCAAAAGAGGGATATAGTTTAGATGTACCCATACTTATATTTCTAACTTTACATACAAGAATGATACATGCACCAAAATAGGTTATACAGCTCCAGCACACTGTAACATTACAGGCAGTCCCTGAGTTATGAACGGAGACCAGCAGACCATGGAGACGGGGGGCAAAGCCGCCGGGCAAGCCGGCAGCGTGGCACCTGAATCTCTCCTGGGCATCTGTCCAAGTACTCAGTTTACAAAAAACACTGGAGGACACAACTTTGTTTTGTGGATAAAATGTTGCCTGCCAATGAAATTTGCAAAAAACCCTCTTTAATAGCTATCAGGACTTGTATGATAAATATTCTTTTGTAACATGATGCTTTAATCTTGTAGCCTTTGGGTTTGACTCAGCCAACCCTGTTAGTCATAAATTTGAGATTCCTTGAGATTGTTAAATTTTTTCATCAGTGAGCTTGATAGTGTTGTGGTAAAACTTGCTTAGCTAGTATTTTTGTGCATTCTAAAATCTGAATGTCCCCAGGCAAAATATTTATCTTGCTTTCTGCATAGTTGTATTGCTTTTATCCAATTATTCTACTACTTTTATATTCAAGATTATTTACCTATGAATAGTCCAGTGTGTTAAATTCATGTGTGTAATATTCTTCATTTTACAGGCAGTCCCCGACTTACGTCGATCCTCAGGCTTCCTGTAGTCAGCCGCTGGTCAGTTTCAGCAGCGGCTGAATCTGGACGCCAGTTCCGACTTGCATACAAATTCAACTTAAGAACAAACCTACAGTCCCTATCTTGTACGTAACCCGGGGACTGCCTGTATAGCGGATAGATTACAGGACATTTTGTTTAAAGCATCTACAAATTATGCATATTTATATTCAGAAGCCACACTTCACAAAGCATGGGGTAGGAGACTATCACAAATTTGTATCAGGAACCCAAGACGACTCACACCACACTTCCTCTAACCACAAAACCCACACTTCCTTCCATTATAATTGCACTGGAATTAGATTATGAATATTGAAGGATTACACAATTGTTAAATCACATTGCACAGTACAATTGAGAATAAAATCTGAAATCTAAACTCCATCCATTTTGGAATTTGTTGATATACCTGAGATCAGAAATGTGACCTAGAATTAGTATGGAAGCCATAACTTCCCAGCATATTTTCTTGCAGGAGAGTCCCTCAATATCATACATAACGTAATGGGTCCATTTTTTTTAAGTCTAGTAATTACTTTGAAATATTGTATTATATGTGAATATTTTATTCATTTTACACTACATGTGACAGAAAATTAGTCTTCAAATAAAAATGCTAAATACAGGTTGAACTAGGTATGTTAGATGTCATTTAAGCCTGCGACTGCAGCAAATTTGAGCAGTTACACAATTATTCAATGACCCCCTGGGGGCAGGGCTAGCAGTCAATGTGCTGATACAGAGGCAGTATTGCGGGATGGTGGTAGCCCCTGTTTGCACAGGGGTGGAGGGGGAGAAGGGGTCCGAGCTCCCAGGGGACGGAGGCTGCTTCATGCAACAGCCTCCATCCACTGCGAGCCCAGGTCTGCCACAGATAGAGGATGATCCACTGCAGCAACCTCTGTTCGCAGAGAGCCCGAGCTCCCAGCAGACAGAGGCTGCACTGGCATCCCTTCTGCCCCTCCCCTCCTTTTAATCCAGCTCCCCCTGAGCACCAGCTCCTGCCTAACTCACTCCCCCTCTGCCTCTGTGGGAGACAGAATGGGGGAGGAGACTGCGGCTCCATGGAGCTGGCTCCCCTTGTGTATTGGCTCCCATCTCCCCCCCTCACCCTCCACACTGCTGCCTCTCTCAGAGGCAGCAGTGCAGGGGTGGGCAGATGGCTCCAGGGCATGCAATGCTTAAAAGCTGGCTCCACCTTCCTCCACCTTACTTCCTCTTACACAGAGGCAGCAGGGGTGGGTGGGGGAGAGGGGTGGAGAATGTAATGTAGTTGTTTGGATTAACAGATAAGCCGAAGTTTATTGGTTAATCATTTTTAACGACTATATGCTAAGATCCCTACTTGAGCCTCTTTAGTCTGGCACCCTCGG